AACACTTGCTTGCGGCGAAATGCATGTTGTGGGGGGGAAGTTCCGTAGCCGCTCCGACCCCTCGCTGTCTAGAGAGATACAAATGTATTTTCCGCGCCTACTGCGGATTATTTCTTTTCAAGTTGGCTATTTGTAGATATGGACAGGGGAGATTACGCGGGGCGTTCCGCACTCCTGTCCGTACGCACATAACATAAATGTGTGTTACCCGGTTGACTCGAGAGCGTATTTAAAATGTTTTCGGAGAGGCGTCACTCATCTACCCTCTCATTGACACGTTGCCTTCTCCCTGTATGTTTAGAAAACGCGCAGTGGAGTGACCCTCCCTACATACACTTTCTTTTTTTGCTTTCCTGTAAAGTCACGTAATCGCGGCGAAGAGTGGCCAATTTGTTCCGTGTCTTTTTTATCTATCCACGGGGGTAATCGGCCTTTCCAGGGACAAGCGGCGTTACGGCTACGGTGCTATGCGGCTACTCTGCTATGCGGCTACATCGCTCCTCCTGCACGTTTGTAGCCCCAGCGCGCGTTCTTTCACGCAAAAATGCATTTCAAGTTCCCCACTGAATGAAGCCCGTCGCGCTGGCCTGCCACTCCCTTTAAGCGAAAATATCCGTGTCTATCGATGTGGTGACGCTCGCAGTGTATCAAAAAAGAAAAAAAAAAAAAGCCAAGAGGCCATGCAAGTATCTTCCCTATAATAAAAACTAATAAAAGGGAAGAGCTACAAATAGATTGCCCCTCTGCAATACACTCCAAAGTGACAGACACTTAAATGATGATTTAACAAATGATGGAGAAAACGTAAAACGCAAAAAAGGGAAAATCGCGGCATTCGCAGGGAAAAGAAATATGCCTACACGCCTATATTTTCCTTTTTTTTTTTTTTTTTTTTTTTTTTTTTTTATCTGAACAGGTCATAAAAAAAAAACGCGATAAATTATGCACATGTCAACAAATATAGCCAATTTTAGCTGCCTTTTTTTTTTTTTCCCATAATGGTCCATATTTTACATTTTTGCAAAAGGGACAAAATAGGAAAAAGCTTACTTGTGCCCGAAGCATGCAACCCTACATCCTTTCTTGGTCAGCAGCGTTAATCTTTTCGCGTCGCTTTCCTGTTCACTTGAATGGAAGAAGTACCAAGAACGGGAATAAGAACAGAGTTGTGAACCGAATGGGAGCAAAAAATGACGTTGCATGGAGGAACCAACAGAAAAGGATACAACTCATTAGCTCCATTTTTAAGCTGCACTATATTGTGTACTACATCGCTTTCTTTGGGGTGGTGATGGTTGTTACTTAATCCACGTCTTCCTTCCTGGCGCTACACCTGTTTAGTTTGAACTTGCTAAACATACGACTTTGTGTAGATTTTTTTTTTTTTAATAAAATATAATTCTTACAACGTACAGTTTTGTAATCTCTTTGTCCCTTAACAAAATGACCCCCGCGGATGATACCTTCCGTCTTTGCACCCTTGCGTTGTTACATGCTTAGAAGGAAAATGGAGATACACGAAGGAGTGGTACTCCTGCTAGACATTTTAAAATATGTGAATAAACTTAAGAGAGATTTTTTTTTTTTTTTTTTTTTATTTCCCTCCTTGTTGACCGTGTACACCTGTACGAGTCACCATTTCCAGCAGCGCTTGACACTCTCCCGTGCGGTCGCCCCTTCGGAACGCTTGGCGAGGTGAGGCCACGTCGCTTCCTTTTGATAGAGCCCTCGACTAGGCCTGAAGAGTTCTCAGAGTGAACCAAAAGGCGTGCACGCACAGGGGCCTGCACCTGTAGTATGCCCCTCTCGTGTGTACGTGCAGCGTGCCCCCATCGTACATTTATCCCCCCTTCCAATAACCAACCGCCAAGTTAACCCCTCCCACGAATCAACACCACTTGACAGCAATTTATCTCACCTCTCAAGGGTTCCCCACTTCTGCTTGTCAGAACGTGTTTTTCGCACAGGCCGTTCCATTCTTTGATCCCCCGGGACTTCCGCATTGGTAAAAAGCGGCAGAGGACAATTAAGAGAGGGCAACTAGGAGCGGCGAAGAAGCGTTCGTCCGGCAGTGAACCTCCCCCCGGATCCGTTCGGCCACTGTTTTCTCGCAGCGCCTTTACAGATACACATTTATGTAAGTCTTTATCAGCCCATTCGTTTGGAGATATGTTTGCACATTTTTTTCGCTGGTGCAGAGGAGTCTCTCGCGCGGTGCCCGGCGAAAGCGTCTCCACTTGTGCATGCAAAGCGTTCGGTGCGCGTGCTCTTGAGAATTAAGGGAAAATTCACACCCTCGCGCACATGAGCAGGTGCCGGAAAGGGGCGAAGCACAGCATAACGAGGGGGACACACTTGTAGTTTTGTTCCTCTATTGGTGAATTGAAAAAGAAGAAAAATAATAAGAGCCAAATCAGGGGCTTAAAACAGCCGATCTGAAACGCACAGTAGGGAAGAGAACGTAAAAGGAAGCAAGGGAATTTGGCCTTTTTCCAAAGTGACAAGGAAGGCGAAGGCACCGCCCAGCGAAAAGAGCCCACCTCAGCGCTGAACGGGTGTGCATGCACCTGTATCTCCCTGTATGTTCCATGCACGTGTGATCCCGTCACGAACAACCTCTGCGTGATCCACCACTTTGCCGATTTTCCCCTTCACCCGCCAAACTGAGCAACCCATGAACGCCCCTAAGCATGACGTACGGAAGGGAACGATATTACGCCCCATCATAGAGAACACTGCCAAGTGTAAGGGAAGGGACACGGGGTGGCCCCCCGGCAACCCGGGCAGTGACTGCGAAAGGGAAAAGAACCACGGCTGCCCCAGGGCGTGCCCCAACGAACTGGGGGTAGCAAAATGGAGGGAAAAAAAAGTGCAAAGCAAGTGGGGACGCAGCGGCGGGGAAAACAACGCGGAAGAGAAGCCCCCTCGGGGGCAGGAACAAAACCACGAAGTGGCCTCAATGACCGACGCGGCCTCAATGACCGACGTGGCCTCAATGATGGACGCGGCCTCAATGATGGACGTGCCCGAAAGCTTCGTCGGCATAGATCACCAAAACTTGCCGTTTGTGAAGGCCAATTTTGCCAACCGCATTAACAGCAAAAACGTAGTGCCCATATTAGACCTCTTCGTCCATAACTTATTTTTTCACCTAAAAAGTATTGGGAAAAATATAGACAATTTTTATTTGCGCTTTGGAAAAGTTGTGTACCCCTTTCACTTCCCAGTTCAAAATGGTGACGTCTGTGATGAGTGCCTACTGAAGGAGAACAGGAGGAGGGGGTGGAAGGGAAGGATTGGGACGATGGGGGAGACCCGGTATGCACATGGATCGGAGCAGCAACACCATAGGGGCAGGAAAGATGGGAGCGAATTTCTCCCCCAAGTTTTAAACGCCTGGTGTGAAAGGGTAAAATGCTTGATAAGAATTTACAATAAGAACAGGAAGGAGCAGAAAGTGAAGGAGTACTTACACGGGGAGGGAAGAGAAAGGGATTCAGAAGAGCGTCGTCTTCTTTTCGATCGGAGGAGCAGATATGACATGAACGAGTGTGCGAAGGGGTTAGTGGATAGCATCCTTCTGAATGAAGACAGATGGGGAAGAATAAAAGAGGTATCCTTTTTCCCAACGGAAAAGAAACAACAATCGGTGAGAAATAAATCAGGTGATGTAACCCATGGAGAAGATCAGTTCTCACCTGACCTGTTCAGGAAAAAAGGAGAACTATGGAATGAAGACATAACCGATTTGTACTTAATCAATTTGGTGAAAAGAAAAATTGAAGATTACATAAAAAATGTGCAAGTGAAAAAATTTTGGGACGTCATAAATGTGCAGCAGTTAGCTAACTTTGACTATAGGTATGCGGGCGGGGTAGCGGCCAGAAAGGGAAATTCCCGTGAGCCTCTATACGACTACATCCAAATCGTAAAAAAAAGCAAGTGCAAAAAGGAAGGAAAGAGCAGCCACGTGGGAAAGGAAGCGAACCAAGTGATGAATGGAAAGAACACCCGGGATGTTGAGAGGGGGAAGACAGACAAAGACTTCATGATGAAGGATCTATTTAACAATACGATTAAGGATTATGAATCGAGTCAAGTTCATATTTTTTTAAGTAACTACGACAACGTATTTTTAAAGTCCATAGGGAGGTTTTACCTTCTGCTAAATTTCTCAGTCGAAATTGTTGCCATTCTGTATGAGGATATTGACTTGTATTCCCTTCACATTTTTTCCTTGTACGGTCATTTGGGTCAGTGTGGGAGAGGTGTCGTCGATCGGCAAACCGATTGGCAGTCTTCTAATCGCTGCGCGGGATGCAGCCGAGGAAGCTGGGGGGAGGAGGCCTTCCGCGCCAGGGCCAGCCAACTTCTTTGTAGCCTTTCTCCTGCCCAGCGGAGACTCGACACCGTCGTGTTTTTGTTGTTACGCGTCTTTTTGAAGGGCGAACAGGGGGCACCTTCCGTGGGGGTCCCTACTAAGGGGGTCACTCCTAAAGGTATCCCTACTAAGGGGGTCACTCCTAAAGGTATCCCTGCTAAGAGCGTCACTAGTAAAGGTATCCCTGTTAATAGTGCCCCTTGTGAGCCGCTCCGCGGCGGAGCCCACCTGTCTGGCCCCCTCCCGAAAGAGATACATAGCCTCAAGGTGGAGAAGTACAAAGAGATTCTCAAAGAAGTGAAGAAGCTAACCAAGTACGTCATTGAGAAAAAAATCCATTTGCAGAAACCAGTCATTAAGTACCTTCTAGGGGTTAATAAAAAATACAAGCAGAAGGTTGTTCACGCGATGGAGAGAATCAGGGGCAGGAAGACCTCCAATTCGAAGCATGTAACTATGCTGAGAATAAACTTCCTTTTGCACTCGATGAATTTTTATCACTTTGACTTCTTCACTAGGAAGGATTTGAAAGCAGATCTGAGACGGATGCACAAATCATCCCGCAGTAAAAGGAAGGGGCTAAGAATCCCGGGGCATTCTAACAGGAGAGACTGTGTCCGCAAATGGAGGTGCTCTCTCCGGGAATGGGGTACTTCCCACGGGATTACTTCCCACTCGGCGCCGAACGCATCGGACGTGGTTTTCCCCCTAGTGAACGAAACGCGGCTGAGGAGGGCGAGACGGGCGCGGCACCTGCGCGGGGTGAGGCTCCGTGTGTACGCCTACGTGAGGTTGGCGCGGAACATCGGGGTGGAGCAGTCCGCGGGCGCAAACAAAAAGGGGAGAAGTAAAAAAAGAAGAAGTAGCGACAGAAGTGAGCGTAACAGCAGAAGTAAGCCTAATAGCAAAAGTAAGCCTAGCAACAGAAGTAAGCCGAGTAGGAGACGTAACCGTAATGGCAAAGATAAGATCCGACGTGGGAGAACTTCTCCCCGTGGAGGATTCTCCACTGGGTGCCAACCAGAGGAGGCACCACACGAAGCGAAAGCACACCTGTTCGTCCTCTCCTTCTACAAAAACCATTTGGTGAAATCTCTAAACGTAGAGCGAATAAGGCGCAAGTTTCGAGCCCTGGTGAGGAGCAAAAATGCAGTCTACAAAAAGGTTCTGCATAAGGTGAGGCAGCGATGTGGACGGGAAAAGAAGACAGAAGTGGAAACACGCGACAAGTACTACGATCTGCTTCTGGACGTATTAAGCATTATCAGGAGACAAGACGAAGAGATTAGGAGCAACCTGTCTGGAATGATAAGGGGGGTGAACGAGCAACTGAATTTATTCTACGGGAACATTTGTCGCTGTGCGCCAGCGGAGACTTGGGAGCAGAGAAACGTGGAGCTCGTGATGCAGCAGCGGTTAGGGGCGCTGCGGGGGGAGGACTCTCCTCTCCGGATAAGTCGGGGCGATGGGGGAGACGCGGAAGAAGCGGAAGACGTGGAAGAATCGGGCGAAGCGGAAGAACCGGTGGGTGACGAACTATGCGGCGAAGCATGCAGCGACGCGTGCAATGGCGCCCATCGGGTGCGTGAGAAAAGGGTGAAGCTTCGTCCATCCCGGAGTGGCAGGCGCCCCCAGCGGGGCCACGCGCAGAAAGGGAAAGACAGCGAGGGAGGAAGCCGTGCAAGAAGTTGCGCCAAGAGCTGTGCCAAAATATGTACCCAAAGTTGCGCAAAATGCCGCTGCCCCATGGACAGGCACCTACTCGACAGGAAAGAAAAACTGCTCAGTCAGTTCCGCGACGTTAAGAGCTATTACAAAGAGAAGACGAAAAAGGTGAACTACCTTTCATATGATGTGTCCATTTTGAAGGAGTACCTATGCGCGTATGTGAAGAAATTTTTTGACGACATTATCCTTTTGTTTGAGTACTTCTTCTGCATGTCTAACGGTTATCTTGCCCTGGATTGTGGCAACGAAGGGGTGGGAGAGAAGAAGGAAGATCTTCTGTGTGAATGGTTCGCTCTGTCGAGCGTGGACAACTTCAACAATGAAGGCGAATCTGGGGGGGACAACCTGCACGGCAAGGAGGCGAAGCCTTCCAAAGAGACGAAGCATAGCAAGCAGACGAACCACTCCAAGGAGATGAACCACTCCAAGGAGATGAACCACTCCAATCAGACGAACCACTCCAAGGAGATGAACCACTCCAAGGAGATGAACCACTCCAATCAGACGAACCACTCCAAGGAGATGAACCACTCCAAGGAGACGAACCACTCCAAACAGTACCGCAACTACCTCCTACTTAAAAAACTGAAATTTTTTGCTAAAAACGACATAGTACAATTTATGAGCAAAAGTATCAACTGCGCGCAGAATCACGTCCTGCTAAAAATAGGCAGCGTGAAAAAGGCTTTCTACCTCTTGCATGCACTGCTGAGGACGCAGATCACATATAGCACACATATCACACAGAGCAGTAGCAACGAGCTTCTCATTTATAAAATCCTGCTCAGTTTTGTTGCAAAATATGGACTGTACTGCCAGAGGAAGGAGATGAAGAGAAGGGGAGCAACACCACCAGGGGGCAGTCCCCTCTCAAAGAAGTACTCCGAGGAGCAACTTGAGAGTCGCTTCCTACTGGAGAAAAAGAGAAAACAATTTTTGTTCAAGTTTGGATTAGATAGTATGAATATTCCTACTAATGTTACTTCCTTTTTAAAGTACATCATTCAGGATTACAGTGCGGACAACACAGGGGGGAAGAAGGTCCCTTGTGGCAAGGCCTCTCGGGCGAATGAAAAAAACGCCATCGATGTTTATACATCCTGCTTGTATAATATGTCGAGCTGCGATAAGGATGACACCAATGTTAGTTCTATCTTGCAAAAAATGCTGAAAAAAAAAAAAAAAAAAAATCCTTGCGTCGCTCAAAATAAGGCAAAAATAATGTATTCGGGGAGAGAGACACAAGAGAAGGAGGACGACCTCTTATCCGATTTAGCGACGTTGTACGAGATTATTCATCGGGGGAATTTAGACCAATATGCGAACTTGAGGCTCTTTATAACAATGGAGAAGAAGAGGAAGACTAAAAGGAAGAGAAAACTCAACTGCGATGAGGTGTTCACCAGTGTAGACATAAATGAGAGTAGCAACCATGTCATACAGAAAGGGATCAAAAAATACACTATCCACTTTGTCGATGACAATAAGTATGTGTTCCCATACATTTGTAACACGTTCGATTTGGGATCTTCCAGAAGGGGACAAAGGAACCCCAAGGATTCGTCTGATCCTTCCCTGTGTTACGAAGTAATCCAGCTGAATAACAATTTTAAGTTTTTTCATTTTATCGATCCGGGGAGAGAATACTCTTTTAGGAACTCCATTTTGAACTTCGTCTATGGGTACCCGGTTGTGTGCATAAGGAAGGACCACGAGGGGGGGGAAGCAGTCGGGTTGGAGGAAGCAGTCGGTCCGGAAGAAGCAGTCGGTCCGGAGGAAGCAGTCGGCCCGCAGGAGGGAGTCTCCCCAGATGTGGATCCCCACCACAAGGGGGAAAGACTCGCTTCAAACGCGGAAGGATCAAATAGAATCAGCCAAAAACTGCTCAGAAGGAGGAAGAGGAAGGAATTGCTCGAACATTTAAGCAGCGTGGACATATCGAATAGCATCCCCTTGAAGTACATCCACCTGTCCGTCATCGGTGACATATTTAGACACCTAAATTTGGAGCACGTCCTCGAAGACACGGTTAAGAACTTATATGAAGAAATGCTGCAAGACATGCAGCAGAGATTTCTCCGGTCCAATGATACACATAACGTGGCTAATGTCGTGACTTGCTTCCTTCTCTACTTTACCTCCTTCATGGATATTCTCCTCGGAGTCAGGGACAACAACTATATCAGCCTTACCCAGCATGGCGATTTTAATATCTTCAATAATTTCAGTGGGGCTTTATTTAGAAGACCGAAAAAGAAGCGAAGTGAAGAGAACCTGTGCGCAGGCCACCTCGAGGGGAAGGAGAGCTACGTATACACGCACAATAGATACACTCGAAGGAGTGCTTACCTGTGGTTGCTGTGGAGGGGGAGGCATAATGGGACGAGCTCGCCGAATGGGACGGGATCGCAGGTGGAAGACATATATGTCTGTCCAAAGGGGGAGACAGCGCTTGGTATTGTCCCGGGGGGGAGGCTCGCGGCCCTCATGAGCAACTACCGCGACTTCAACTTCTCCTTCCTGAATAACGCAAAGTGTCTGGACGAGCAAAAAAGGAAGCAGTACCTGTTCGTGAGTGGCGGGGCGGAAGCGGCGGATAAGGAAGCGACGGATAAGGAAGCGACGGATAAGGAAGCGACGGAGAAGGAAGCCGTGGATAACGCATCAGCGGAGCGAACCCTTCTGTTCAGGCACAAAAACGTCAGCGTCCACAGCGTGGAGGAGAGCGTCTCCTGTGAGGACTCCCCCCCGTTTTTGGCAAGGGCGAACTTCACTGACGTGGCCAGATGGCGCGACTGCGATTTGGAATGGACCCCAACTTTTGAGTTGCTCCAGGGGGGAGGGGCAAGCGTGGGAATGACAAGCATGGGAGTGAGAAGCCCCACCCCGAGGAACACCCATTTATGTTCCCCACATCAGAGCAGCTACACCCATCACGGTCATGGTACCAATGGAGGAAACGCGTCCTCCTCTTTAGTGAAACGAATTCGCCTCGCCCTAACCATCCTGAGGGGGTACCTAAAGGAAACCCTAAACCTGAAGCGGCACTGCCTGTTTGATGCGCTAGAGAACTTTAAGCAATGCAAAAGAGGACTAGAGGACATAAAATTTTTGTACCATTTGATATACCTACTCGATTTTGACAGGAAGGAAGGAAAGGTGCCTGATTCGGTTATCTTCAAAAAGGTATACTACTTGGTGGTGGAGGCATTGTTCGGCGGGGGGGGCTCATTGCTGCGAGGGGAGACAACTCAGGAAGGAAAGACAACCGAGAAGGGAACAACAACTGAGGGAGGAAAGACAACTGAGGGAGGAAAGACGACCGAGGGAGGAAAGAAAACCGAGAAAGGAATCACCAATGAGAAAGGAGCGACAAATGAGAGACACCCACCTTGCATCCCCCCCGCGATGGACGGCGAACGGGTAATATCTTTTATCTTCAATTTGGTGAAAATCACGAGAGTAATCAAAATGAAGAAGGAAAAAATGAAAAAATTATTCAAGCTACTTCAAACGTACGTGAATAAGTCTCCAGATTTTTACGACGCCATTTTTAATAGGCTGTTTCTTTTTATTTATGAAGACACGAAGGAGGAGAACAGGAGGTTTCTTAGGAGGCATTTAAGCAGCTACTTCAATGGAAAGAAAATCACCTTTGATATCTTGAGCCACATCCTTCGATCCCTCCCCGCAGGGGGGGAAGGGCGGGACAGGCAAGCGCGGCGAGAACTGTCCCCTACCCAGCGGTGGCACCTCCCATGGCACCACCCATCTGAGCAACGGAGCGTTCTGGCCGGCGAGGACCCCGCCTCCCTCCAGGGGCACATCCCCCGGGTTAAAGAGGAACGGAGAGGAGATGGACATAGAGAAGATGGGCACAGAGCAGATGCACACAGAGCAGATGCACACAGAGCAGATGCACACAGAGCAGATGCACACAGAGCAGATGCACATAGTGTAGAGGAACAATGCGTAGACCCCCCCAGGGAGTGCCTCCCCCGGAGACAGCATCATGACACGCGGCGCACATGGAAAAAAATGAAATTCTCCAATGTCAGTGAAGAGATATTTAAGAAAGCCTTTCGTATGGGGAGGAGCATTTACTCAAGTGACAGCTGCGACTCGACCAGGCGAAGCATCTTCCGAGTGAAACGTGTGGAGAGTAGGAACTACCTGTCGTACGAGAGGGAGAAGGCGAGTCATTTATTCCGCGGATCAGGAAGGAGCTCCTCCGGGAAGAAGGCGGCTAAGCAGAATGCATCTACATTGAAGTCCTCTCTGCAGAACGCATCGATGGCAGGTACAGCCAAGGGGAAAGGTCCCAACGTATACCCCGGTGGCAAATCCCCTTGGGAAACTTCTACTCAGAGGGAGGGGCTCAGCAAAACGGACCACTCGAAAAGGAAGGGCAAGAAAAAGGGAAAACAACTCAGCGCAGATATTCTATCTGAGCAACTATGGAATGAGGGCCTATGGGACGAAACGAGAAGCTTCTCCACGTCCCTGTGCACGAATGAAGAAGTGTCCGTCGAGAAGAAGAAGGGTCTGAGGAAGGGTGGAATGAACCTGGCGCAGGGTGGAGGGAAGCCACTCGGAAAAGAATCCTTAGAGCGATACAGCTCAAGTGAATGCCTCCACTACGTTGATAATTTGTTTCGTCACTATCGGGAGAGTTCTAAGGGGCAGCGAGAAAAAGGGGGGACTTCTAAAATGGGGAGGCCTTCCAAAATGGGGACCCTTCTAAAAGCTCATTTGAAGAAGAAAGCGGAAGAAGACATCTTTATGATCGGAAGCAACACGAGCGAAGGTGGAATCCCCCTTAGCTGCGCCTCGTCGTCGTCTTCAAATTGGCACAAAGATACAAATGACGAGGAGAGACAGAAGATATGCTTCCACATGAACGAGCTGACTTGTACAGGTGGACAGAAATATCTGAGCCTACTAAGTGCAGCAGATTTTAAAATGGTAAAAGGGGACAGGAGTGGGAGAAGTGGCAGGTGTGATAGAAGTGACAGGTGTGACAGAAGTGAGAGAAGTCTCCACTCGATTGAAGACATGAGGAACTACCCAATGGACGAAGGAATGCACCAAATGAAACGTAGCTATCATAAGGACAGCAAGCAAGTGCACAGTCTTCTGACCTTCCAGCAGGACAGTTCCTTCTGTTTTATCAAATATAAGCCCTACCTTGAGTTCAACGAAGAGAGGAGAGTTAAGATAAACAAGTATAAAGAGAAGGAGAAGAAGAAACAGAGAAAAAAAACAGACATTATGTTCATGCCTCTCTACATTAGCATCGTCGGAGGACTCGATATATTCTTATTCAATTATTACCAACACATTTGTGACACCTATGTGAATTCCTACTTCTACCTGAACACATACTATTTCGAGAAATATGTTTGTAGTAAGTACCGGGGGAAAAGACACTCGGAGGAGCACCTAATCCATGACCCCTTTTACTACCACTACTTGTTTTGCAACAAGTTCGGTTGCCACGACAGCGCGAGGGTCGTTCGGGGCGCACGTGTGGGACACCACGCCTACGTGAAGTTCTTTAACCGCAAGGGGGGGAGAGAGGCGGTAGCGGCCGCAGCGGTGGGGGAGGCTGCATCGGGAGAGGCTAACATGCACACGGCTAACATGGACGCGGCTAACATGGACGCGGCTAACATGCACGCGGCTAACATGGTCTCGATTGGCATGCACGCTTCTAACCTTCCCGCTGTGCGCGTAAAGGAAGAAGCCGCCCCGGAAGAGCTGACCAGCCAAAAGGTCCCCCGCGAGGAGGAAAAAAAAAGACTCAACAGTGTAGTAGACAGGGGAAGCAAACAAGCGTCCAACGAGGTTGGAAAAGCTTCAAAAGGGTCAGCAGGTGAGAGAAAAAAAAAACAAATCACAAATGAAGGACGCAACGGTGGAGATGATATCACGCAGAGGAAGGACCATCACTGGAAAGAATGTGAACAGAATTTTTTTTATTTAGACAATGAACTAAGTACAGATGATGAGGAAGACAGTGTTCCAAAGGAGCCAAAGGACGTTCATATCTTTAAGAGGCACTTATTCATCCTGGACTATCTGAGAAGTCATTTTAGTTTCTCCATTTTCACCCGAATGGAGAATATGATTAGCGACATGTTTGATAACTATTTGTTGAATCTGCCGTATGTGAATCGGTACGTCTTGGTGAGGAGTGGCGGTGAGTGTGGAGCCGACGTGGGGTATGAAGTGTTGCCTGCCAAGCGGGGGGTTAGCGGAATCACTACAGGAGCCATCCCCTCCGGGGAGAACCACTTCCCCGTTGGAAGTCGCTTCCCTGATGGCAGCCGCCTCCCCCCTGACGGCACAAGCTACCACGACTTGGTGAGGGAGTTCTTCCTACGGGCGGGTGGAGTGCAGCTCTCCATGACGGTCGTCAACGTGGAGTATTGGAAGTTCGAAGACGTGAAGGAGGAAGACCCCATCGTGAAGAAACTAATCCCCGACAGTTTGTCCGCCTACTTCGACGCGATTAATAAAATGTACCAGAAGAGGAACGCAGACAAGCATCTAGTCTTCCTCTTTGATTTGTGTTCCATCGATTTGCTTATCGACGATTGTCTCTTCACTGTAAATTTGACAGAAGGGCTAGTCTACCTATTTTTAAGCTCTCTCGAGACGAGGACCATGGATCTGTATAAGGAGAACTTACGCTCCGAGCAGTACGACACGGGTAAAGGAAAGTACAATTTCGATTTTTTATTCATTTCGTCGACCTATAAATCAAGGGAGAGTAAAACGATACACATTATTGTCAACGAGAGCATTGTTCTATATGACTTTCATCTGATTAAGAAATCCGAGGAGGGTTCCACGTCAAAGGGGAGGAAGACTTCCCGGGTGGCCGCCTCACCAGGGGGGGTGACACTCCGGGGAGAAGTGCCAAATAGGGAAGAAGCCCGAAGGATGTCATCACTAACGGGAAGCCATTATCTGCAAAGGGATTTCCACGAAAGCAGAGGAGAGTCCATAACACAGCAGGGCACGCACTTCCTTAGAGAGTCACCCCCGAGAGGTACCTCGCCGAAGATGGACCAATCTTACATGGAAAAGAGGACAAATGGAATGGGAAGCGAGCCTATCCGCGTAGCAGAAGTAGGAACATTATCATCCCCCGAAGGAGATACTCAGAAGGAAGGTCAAAATGGAATCGGCCAAGTATTCACTGGAGGGAGAAAGAACATCGATGGCAACACGGATAGTGCAGACCCAGGGAAGGATCTACAAAATGAGGAGGAAGTAGAGACCGTCATAAAGAAACAGATCTCAACGGAGAACGTTTACTACAATTTGAAGTTCCTCAAAGAGTATCAGGAGAATGAAATAAAAAAATTAAGAAAGAGACAAATTTTGGATGATGTTGATGTAAAACTTTTTTTTACCGAAGAGTATCTGATTCAGAAGACGAACCTGCCAGATCGGTTTATTCGAGAGACGTTAAAAAAGCTAGCTAGGAGGAAACTTCTACAAAGGAACACATTCAAAGTTATGAATAAAAGGAACAAGAAGACGACACAGTTTAGTGTCTACACGATGTCGGAGTTGGATTCTGTGGGGGAGACAGATGTCTCTGAGAGGAGAGTAAAAGATGAGGAAGTGGAACCGTGGGAAAAGGTGTCCGAGGGGGGAGTGGGAGGTATTCATCTCCTCCAACAGATGCGTGAGAGGGGTGAGACGGGCGAGACGGGATACACGGGCTACACATGTACGACGCGCACACACGGGGAACAGGCCGAGAGTGACAAAGAAGGACAACCACAGGCGTGGCTGCCTCGAAGACAGGGAGGAACACATCATACAGCAAGGCAACGGTCGGAACAGCTCACGAGACGAAGATCGACTCGGAAGCGAGCGAACACTCCGGACCCCACCCCGACGACCGACAGGAGAAGGAAGCTCCCAATTGGACCCATCGACTTATCTACCCAGAACAGCGAAGAGGGTAAGCTTCACTTGGCGAAGAAGCAGAAGTGCGGCAACGGCAAAGGCGCAGGGGGGGGGACTGCAGCTTCTCCTCTGGGATCGTCCCAACGACCATCATCCATAGCACCTCCGTCTTCATCGTCCCAACCACCATCATCCATAGCACCTCCGTCTTCATCGTCCCAACCACCATCATCCATAGCACCTCCGTCTTCATCGTCCCAACCACCATCATCCATAGCACCTCCGTCTTCATCGTCCCGTCCACCTGAATCGTCTTCCCTACCCGCTCCATCTTTATCGTCTTGCTTACCAACGCCACCACCGCGCGTCGGGAAAGTCAAAACCGAGCGAGCCACCGAAGCATCGCGAGAACGGCTGGCAGAGAAACCGTCCAGAAATGGCAGGACGAAAAAAGAAAGAGGCACACCCACAGTTAGCAGTAGCGTAGTGAGATTAGAGACTAGTAGTACGGCCGTTTGTGTGAACAACTCTCTAGGCAGTCGTGACCCGAATGAAGATGTTGACAAGAGGGAGAGTACAGAAAAGACCGCCAATGTCGAAGACGCCGCCACTTCCGCAGACGCCGCCATCACCGCCAATTCCAGCAGCGGGGCGAAGAAGCGGAGGGGGGGCTCCACGGTGCAGGGGCAAAGTGCCGACGCTTGCAGCGGCCGCCGCAGACGCGCAGATGCACGCAGTGGCAATAGCGGCAAAACGTGCAAGGGCGGCCAGGAAAAGGGCCCCTCGGAAAAGGGATCCCCAGAAAAGGGCTCCCCAGAGGGGAGCGCCCATCAAAAGGCACCTCAACGGAATCACTCCGATGATAAGAAGCGAACGAGAGCAAAGCGAGTCAACAAAGTTGCAAAAGAAAAACGAGTAGTAAACACCTTAGTGTCCTATCTCAGTGAGAGGAAAGGCAGCAGTGATGACACAGTTAAGGACCATTCGGTAGTCAAGCAGGGAGAGGCAACCAACCCCGCCGGCAGTAGCTTTAACTGTAGTAGTAGTATGAGTAGAAGTAATCACCTGCGCGTTGAAGTGGACGTGTGCGCGTGACCATGCTAATGTGCGCGTGATGGGGAGTCGCTCCATCCGCGTGTCTGCTGATGCGCTTGCACGACTCTCGTTTGTCACGATGCCGCGTCTCCGCTGCCGCTTCATGCCGCTTCAATGCCGCTTCACTTCAATGCCGCTTCGCCCCGCCTACAGACGAACCCGTGGACTTCTTCCTGGACGATGTAGTCACCGACAACGATGAGGAAAACGAGATCAAAAAAAGGAGAACCTTCGAAAACTTAAATCTGGAAGAGCCCTACGAATTCTACGAAAAGAATATATTAAAAATAACGACAGATCGAATGAACAAAATGAAAGCAGAGCCGGGGAGGAACACCTCCACTCCTCTGTTTCTAATTGTGAGCAGCCTGAATAAAATCCTAACAGAAAGAAGAATGAGCCATTTGTCTCAGCCTAGTGTGCTCGCCATTCTAAACATCATGATGAAGAAGAACAAGGTGGTGCGGGTCGGCGGCAACTGGCGGCCAACTTAGCCCCTGCCCTAGGCGAAGCAAAAACGAAACGGAAAAGCAGCACACATTTGTAAGGAGGCCAACACAGACAAAACCCCCGTTTCCTTTTTACGTCACTTTTTAACCTCGTACTTTTGCAGCAATACGTTGAGGGACGTCGCCTTCTTTTTTTTTTTTAATGCCGCAAAATTGTCTATTTGGTCATCCCCCCCAGGGAGAAGCGACTACAGCTTCGGCTGAGGCAGCCATCCTCTGTGTGCAAAGGGGCTGGTATCCTCCTGAGGGGGGATTCGATGGAGATCCCCCATTTAGGGTGAGAGGACGCAATTGTGTCGAAGCAACTCCACTTTGGTTCAGCTTTGGTTAACCCCAGTTAGCTTAGCTTCCGTTAGGTTGGCTTCTGTTCATTTGGCTGTTTTTTTTTTTTTTTTTCCCTTAATGACGCAGGAACGGGGGGCACTTCTCACGATGCAGTTTTTCCTGCACAACTTTGTCACTTCAGAGGGGACATATAATTCCGAGTTGTTTTTCGATTCTGTCCTTTTTTGGTTCCTTTCCCTCTGGGTTGGTGACACTCGACCGGCGGAACAAAACCCCCTGTGCTAACTGTGCGGCGCGGACATTTTGCAAAACAGACAGAACTGTATTATTTCCCACACGCGGAGTGTGCACACAAAAGGGCACAATGGGGGTTGGCCCATAAACAAGGGGACGGATAAAGAAGTGATGAATAAACGTAGCGGGCGGATGCGCTTGCACACTTTGTGAGCTTTTTTAATCTAAGAAAGCGCATGGCGAGGAGGCCAAACTGATGGTGCCTTTTTTTCCATTTTGTGTTTTTTGCTTTGCCTATTTGCGTGTGTTCTTTTTTTTTTTTTTTTTTTTTCGTTCGCCGCGCCCGCCTCCAACTTAGCGCTACACTTTTCACTTTTTTTTTTTTTTTTCATTTTCGCGCAACTCTTCAGATGTTTAAGCAGCGTTCCATTTGTGAAAAAAAAAAACGGCCTTTCTTTTAATGGGAGAAATTTATGTATTTATTTTTGCTACGCCGCCGCATTGATATATATTCATATTGGGAGGAGCGAATTTTTAGTTCCTACCTTCTGCTTCTTCCTGCTCTTCCTCTTCTTACCCCCTCGGCTGACTTGCTTATCCCGTTAATTTGCGTGGCCGAGCATGAATGGACACAGGAAAAAAACAAGGTGAGCGTCCCCATTCTGTTCGTTCGACGCGATCGCAGCGTGCCAGGATAATATATATCCATGTGGCACCTCGCACGCGTCATTTTATGTTCTCTCCTCCCACCCATGCGGTTAGTGACCCATCGGGCCGAGCCCTGACTGTGAATGCATATGTAATATGCCGCCTGCTGGTCGCCCCCGCACCATTTGTATATATTTAAGTATAATATGACACTTAAGCATTGCTGCGCCTGACCGGACCTGCCGAATGTGCCTTTTCACTTGAGTCGGAAACACGTTCATTTCGCTTCGATCCTCCGTCCTGCAGAGTGTACATTTGGGTTGTATTGTATTTTGTATGTCATCAGGGAGCGTGTACGATGATGGGGTGAGGCCAGCCGATGTGGGCAAGGAGGCACAAAAAAAACCATTGCCCTTGTACCGCCCAGGCGCACTCGTATCTATATATTATATATATTGTATGCGTACACTTTTCATACGTGCCCCGAGCACCGGCCGAATTTTGCAACCACACCCCAATTTGATCGGCAACTTTTTAAGCCCCGCCATCTGCCCCTCCCGGCAGTGCTGCGTTATGTTAGGCTTAGCTCTGCTTTTTTTTCTCTCATTTATATTTATTTTTTTTTTTATTTTATTTTCTCCCAAGCTTTTTTTACTTCCTCTACAACTCCCCAATCGTCATCCATTTTTAGCCGATTAATTTTTTTTTTTTTTTGTACTTTAATATTTGTATATAATTTCTTCTCCAAAAAAAGGAATAATCCTCCATTTTTTTACTCATTTGAAGGAAAAGAAAAAGGGCCAACCCATTTGAACCATCCTCCCCTGCAACCTATCGCAAGTTGCTGCCGAGCAAATAACCAAACAGTTATCTCCTGCGGTTGTGCGAGAGGATCTCTATCTGTACCGCTGGTCCCTATGTACCATTATAAATATGTTTTTGTTCCCCCACTTCACTTCGTGAGCTCTCGGCGAGTTGGAACATTTCGAACAAAGGAAACAAGTCAAAAGGAACGGCCAATTGGTTGAGCGACGGAAAGGAAAGAGAAAAGAACAAAAAAAGAAAAAGAAATAAAAAATAAATAAAATAACCCATTCTCCCCTGTACAACTCTCTTCGCTTTAATTATCACAAATTTTTCACCAAAAAGAAAAAAAATTTTATATATTTTTCCTTTTTTTTACACAAAGGGGAGGTCACCATCCTGCCGCTATTTTTCCTGTGGCTATTTTCCTGCCGCTATTTTTCCTGTGGCTATTTTCCTGCCGCTATTTTTCCTGTGGCTATTTTCCTGCCGCTATTTTTCCTGTGGCTATTTTCCTGCCTCTATTTCGTCCGATGCTCCCCGCCGCCTGTCCCCCCGTCTCCCATTTTAAGAAAAGCCAATCCGTGTGCTTCATAAACCTTTTTCATTTACACAACAAAGAATAGAAAAAATAGAAAAAAAAGAAAAAAATGAATTCCCCCTAAACTTCCGCACAATAGCCTATACATATTCAAACCTGTGCAGGGAAAACCCCCTCCCCGTGAACACCCACACACTCGAAATGTATAACCCCCCACGTGTCATAATTCGGGCAAGCACTGTTGTACCTTACCTATCGTTATGCTTTTCGAAGTCATCACGCAGGTCGGTGTCTATTTAAGAAGAGCACTTCGAGAAATTTTTTGTCTTACCAATCATGTTACGACTTAAAGTGGAAGGAAAGCTCGCTTGTTGTTGAGTTTTGCTATTCGTGTCGAGTTTGGCATCCGCGCCAATTTGGAAGCCTCACCAATTTGGAAGCATCACCAATTTGGAAGCAACGCCAACTCTGAGACTTGACCACCTCCAAACTGGCCATAGTTGCGCCGCCGAATTGGCTGCATCGAACGAGCAGATCCTTTGCGCAGCAGATGTACGTCCTTCAGGAGGTGTGCTTATTAATAGATGTGCTATGTACATATATGTGCCAAGCCAAGTGACCAACGCGCATTAGACACGTCGGAGAACTCTCCAGACCTCTGGCTCGATTCATGATACAAGGTCATCCCCGTGATACAGCTAAAGTGTGCCCGCCTCGCACGTGTGGGAAATTCAGGTCATCGCTGCGATGCAGACGGGCGGAAAAAGCTGATGTGTACGCACCGAGGGTCTGCCCTAGTACGCCAGTGCGATTTCGCGGCAGTGCGATAGCCCACCAGTACGATCACACGACAATACGAATGCACCATCACACGCATGTATCTGTAAGGGCACCCAAACGAGCGACTCGCGGCCCTGCGAAGCCTGTCCCCCGCCGGGCCCCCCTCGGCCGTACCCCTGCCATACTCCTGCCCACTTTCGTGACACCTGCATGAGCGTAAAATGCAAGACACAGAAAGGAAAAAAGAAAAAATGAAATTTAAGTTGAACTGCGGGGAGAAAAAGAACCTCATCAGCGTAAGCATTAGGAAAAATGATCAGAGTGACAGGAGCAATCACATAAATGGGAGGAGCAGCCCCCATGTGAGTAGCACCCCCCATGTGAGTAACAGCCCCCATGTGAGTAACAGCCCCCATGTGAGCAGTGCCAACACGCCCAGCAACAACATTAGTGGGATGGTTAAGAGGAGCCCTCTCGAAACAGGCCCCGTAAAGGGGGTATCCAAAAATATCAAAATAAACCTCGCGGGGTCCAAGGGCATTATGCAAAAAAGCGGGATCACCACCAATCGAGTAAACCACGCGAACTCGAACAGTTCTGTAACGACAGACAACCTTAGCAGCAGTAGCGTCAGTCATGCGAAGCAGGTCGGCGGTAATGTCAGCGCCCCGGGAAAGGCCACCACCCCCAGGAAGGCCACCACCCCCGGAAAGGCGACCACCCCGAACAGCAACCCCCACGAAAGCACAACCTTCAACGATAGTCTAAACCTGCACGACAGTGTAAGCTTTAACGACAGCTTAAGCCCCAGCGAGAGCAACAATTTGAGCGGCAGCCAGAACTTGAGTGGCAGCCTGAACTTGAGCGGAAGTCTCAACATGAACGGTAGCCTGAACATGAACGACAGCGCGAACCTGAACGAGGCGGGCATCAACTGTGAAAACCTGAACGGCACTGGGAATGTGAGTGAGCACGTCAGTAGCGGTGGAAGCGGCGTTGGGGTAAACGTGGCAAACAAGCCAAGCGGCGAGAGGGTTCAGTTACGCCACGGAAACAAGTCCCTCCTCAAAAGTAACCTAAAGATATACTACAAAAATGAGTTAATCCCCCTTTCGTTCCTTTACCATAAAATCCTGACGATACTAAAGTCGCACTATACTAACCATGTTACGAACAACCCAGGCGTGGCAAACAAAGGCATATCATTTTTCCACATAGAAAACATGTTAATAAATTTGGGGTTCAAAGGGGTGGACATAAGTAACCATGCTCTGCTGAGCTATTTGGCTTCATCGAAGCAAATAAAAGTTGACTTGAATGAAAAAAGAATCTGCTACATGAATCCCTACGTGGACATAACAAGCGTCACTTCTTTGTTAAACAAAATAAATAAAAATGGGTTTCTCTACGGATACGAAATTAATGATGATTTAATTAACACCAATAAAGACATCTATAAATGGATTAACACGCTGCTTCACGAAAAGAAAGTTCGCTGCATACGATCGAATAACAGCCATTTGAGAGGAAAATTAAAGTGTAAACATTTGCCATCCTTTTGTGATATCTATGCAAAAAATAAATGTGACAACTGTTTTTACAATTTAAAGGGGTATATCTTCTTCCCTCTTTCTTATGAACACATAGAACAGCAGCGCTACTCCATCACGAACGATATTAAAAATCTGTGGGACGAAATTACGCTGCCCAACCTTGACAACATTTTAAAAGAATACAAATTGAAGTCCACCAACAAAGTCTTCGTGCATGAAAATGCCCCCAAGAGGAAAAACAAGGAGGACAAGTTCGCGCCCGTCGTTAAGAAAATGAAACGGATTTACAACACCCACTTGTTCACGGCCGACGAGATTAAAAATGAGTTCATACAGAAGAAGTGACCGCGGCGGGGCAGCGTCCCCGCATCACAACTTCGCAGCATCACAACTTCGTAGCATCACAACTTCACAACATCACCGCAGCAGATGTGAGAGGCAAACTGAGAAGACGCGCCTTTCACGAAGTCGCCACTTTGGCACACCTATATCTGCATGCACACGTTTGTTAGCGCAAACGGGGGGAAGGCGAAAAAGAAAAAGAAAAGAAAAAAAAACTGCACTAGTCATAATTCTACTCTTTAAAAATTGCACCTTGCGGGTGTAGCCTCCTTTGTTTGGTAAATTGGCTAGCAGGATTGATGCACACATGACATGTGTGTGCGTTTTTTTTTTTTTTTTTGCCAGCTAGCCATTTCAGCGCAGAAAAAAACATTCATTTAAGGAAAAAAAAAAAAAAAAAAAAGGTTTTATTCTGCGCTGCCATTCGGACAAGGCGACAAAATAGTAGTAACGCTTGCACGTCCGTTGCCTCCTTCCCCGCTTTTTTTTTTTTTTTGTGTGTCGTTGAAATGTATGCCTTCTTTACGTGTGCTATATTACCTACCCGTAGCTGCATACAACCATTTGAATGAAAATGCTGTTTTGTAATTTTTTTTAAACTAAACACCTATCTCTTCAAAAGTCAAAGGTGGTCTCCTCACCCCCGCTTGGGGGTCAGGAGGAGGAATCTTTTCCTTTTTCTTCGCATCGGAAAAAAGGACGAATAGGGGCATAAAATAGGATGCACATTGAGGTGATCTAACATATCTGCACATTACATGGAGGATTAAAAAGGCTTTCTCCCATTTTGCTGCTTATGGACGGACGAAAAAAAGAAAGAAAAGGAAAGAAAAGAAAATTATTTGTGGGATGATTGTGGGATGATTGTGGGCTGCGTGTCCAATGCTGCATTGACCAAATCGGCATTGCACGGGGTATAGTGTGGCTGCCGCTCGGGGGATGACTTCAGCGAGGCAAATGTGGCACTTGTCAGGGGGTTACTATTCAACGCAGCTTCGTTGCAGTTGGGGGCAGGTTCTTAACAATTTGAGGCAACTTCATTGCGGTCTGCGGAAACTTCTTCCATTTCGCCGCCACCGCCCCTCCCACTTCACCACTATCGGAACATATCAAAGATGAGCAAAAAAATGGAGGTGCACACGAGGACGAAGAAGATGAGCGAGTTCATGCTTTTCTTGTTTTGAATTTTACTCAGGTAGGTATTCCCTTGAGCCACGTTCTGTATGCTCTCCTCCACCACGTGTTCTATCATGTTCAAGTTCTCATTCTGCTCATATATCTTTGTAACAAATATGTTCATTAATTTGCTTATTTTGGCGATTTTATTTTTCGTTTCCATGATGTAGGTGTTTTCTTCCTTCTCAAAGAGGTCCACGTATTTTTTGAATTCCAATTGTTGATCGCTGCTTAGGAGGTAATTATGACTGCTGCTCGGGGGGGGGAGGAATTCCCCCTTCGCCCTTTCCGCCTCTTCCTCCTCAACATAGTTGTACGTATTGAACTTGACTCTCTTTTCCCCTCGATTTCTCGCAGTTGCGTCTTTCAGGGAGTTTTGCTTTCCCATGATCTGATGCTTTGCCCCTTCATCCAAAAGGTCATTTTCACATTTCTCCCTTTCTTCGTGATGGCCGAGGTGATTGTCTCCATTTGGGTACTCCCCATTGTTGTTGCTCTTGATGGAGCTACCGAAGGGGTGATAGCTCGTGTGCGCTGTTTGGTTGAAGGTGCCTCCTCCGTGTGGTATGCCTAAACGTGTGGCTGGAAGTGCATCTGGCTTCCTAAAATGGTTGTCACACGAATTGGTGCCGTATATGTAACGGTTCAATCTGTTAAGGTAATCAAAATTGCACTTGACGCCCTTCACGTCGTAGAAGCAGAAATTCGTGTACCGATTTAACTTCAAGTGGTAGCTACTTAAGTTGTGTTCATATTTGTTAATAATGTCAATGAAGATTCCAAGGAGGCTGTTCAGGCAGGACATGACCTGCTTATGTGTTTCTGTCTCCGCCTTTGGTTTTAAAAGGTTAATGTCTTCTGACAGCTTGTTCACAGCGTAGAGTAAATTGTCTTTACTTTTGACTCTCGTCTTTTTCTCCTTCACGTGTATGCTTCGAGGGACTGTGAGGTTGTACTGCTTTAACGTGTCGGTATCTATGTAGTCACAGTTGGCAAGGAGGTTTGTGTATATTTTGCTGCTCTGGATAAGAAACTCGTCCTTGCACTTGTTTTCCCTGCGCGTGAGGGCCACGCCTTTGTCGAGCTTCCTGCATAAGCGCATGAACTCGTCTGAGCGATCCATTCTGGGGAGTTTCCGCCGGTTTCGCGAACTGCGCGAGGGTGTTTGGCACCCTCATTTTTGCCGCGTCGTATTGCCGCTTTGTAGTGCCGCTTTGTAGTGCCGCTTTGTATCGCCGCTTCGCATCGCGGCTTTCTCTTTAAAATGCCCCTCAGTGGAATTTCCCATGAGGAAATTTCTCTTCATGGGAAAAATTGCAAAAAAAAAAAAAAATTCACAGCAATTTTGGATGACCCACCGGTAAGCAACATTACCGAGGTTATTAACACGTTTGTCAAAAAAAAAAAAAAAAAAAAATCGGTCGGGGGGGCATTATATTATTATGCCCCACGATTACGTAAAAAAAAAAAAAAGCGGCATGCCCCCCAACCACATGGACGGACGGATGGATGTATTTGCCTGTTCATGCTTACCATCCGAATGACCCTGCATAAGGGGAGAAAAAAGTATGGCCTTTCTGTGGCCTTTCTGTGGCCTTTCTGTGGCCTTTCCGCGTCTCCGTTCCGCTGATCTGTCACAGGAGGAAAAAACTCCTCCTGACCATGTGTATGTGGTATCATGCTTACCCTCCTGTTGAGTATAGTTCCCCTTCCAACTGCTCGCTCCGTGGGAAATCCCATCACTCCCATCGGGGGGGCGCCCCTACCCCAAGTCAAGCATCTTCCCGCGCAACACACAAATGGATTTCCTGCACACGTCGCGCATGTACTCGTTGTACCCCTCATCGGCGTACATTTTATTTTTGGCGGCATAGCTCAGCAGGCGCTGATAATGCTGCAAAGCCTGCACGAGGAAGATTTTGTCGTCCACTGCGGATAGCGTTTTACACACGTAAAAGTATATATCGAAGTAGGATTTTTTTTCCTCCTCACTTTGGAAGGAAGCTGAGTTGGTAGACTCTTCCCCAATCTGGTAGGTACTCAAAAAGAAGAGGTAATATTTTACAATTTGGAGGATTATCCCCTTCTCCTGCCCTGTGAGGGGCCCCCCGATGTGATCATCAAAATGGAGGTTCCTATCCCTGTTAAGGTCATTCACGTGCATGTTATCGATAAGGGTGTTGCATTTTGTGCAGATGAAAATGTCTTTCAGGATGAGTGCGCACTTGAGGGCCATCTCCCTCCGGAAGGACAAATACTGCTCGTGTGTTATCTGCGCCAAGGGGGCACTGATGCAATTTAACATCATCCTGCAGTTCTGCATGTACTGTTCATACGAATTGGTAAAAAAGTTAAAGTAAAAGTAAGACTCACTTGAATTCAGGAGGATATCTAAATGTAATGTTGTCTCTTTGTGTAGGGAGAAATAGGTGAGCGTTTTTTTTTTATATTTTTTTACCTTCTCAAATAGGAACTTTACTTCGTCAAAGTTGTAGCATAGGTAGTGTGTATGCTGGCAGTGCCCTATGCAAGTGGATTGTTCCCCTCCGTTGGGGGTCCCAACAGAAGGGAGGTGCCACTTCTCAGACTGCTGATCGGCCCTGCCCTTGGAGAAACCTCCATAAAGCTTTTTCATCTTGTCCGTGGCTAACTTAGCGTACTCTCCGTCGCCAAAGTTGCACACGTCAAACTGCATCTGCGGCAGATTAACTCTTTTGAAGTGGAAAATTTGGAGAAAATCCGCGGCGTGGTCCTCGCCTAGGTCGATATTCACCCAAGGGGGGGCGTCGCCCGTAGCGGTGGCATCGGCAGTAGCGATGGTATCGGTGGTAGCGGCCGTTACTGCTGTCCCTTCCGCCCAAACCTTGGAGAAAATCTCCCTCACCAGGCCATCCACCTGTTTTATGTTCCCCCGAAGGAACGTCGAAAAGGACATTTGCTCATTCGCCCCAGGGAGGAGAACGTACTGAGTGTGTCTGAGTTCCCCCCCCTCATCATCATCCTCCTCTTTATTCACATCAAAATTGAAAGTATTAGTGTGCACAATTTGTTCAAGTATAAATTCGTAAGCGATGTTGCTATCGTCCACGAGGGAGAAAACATCTCCAATCAGTTTTGATGGATTTTTTTCTCCACCTGAATAATGAATGCCTTCTTCTCCATTTGGCATAGTGTTCATATCAGAGGTGCTCACCCGTATGGTGCCTTCCAAGTAGGAAGCTGCTGCGAGGTTATCCTCCCTTTCGTGGATGACGCCAGCGCAAATGCAAATTTCGTTTCTGTGGAAGTACGCCCTAGTAGGAAGTTCCCCCCCTTTCGCTATGCAACTCCTTGTCGTGTTTTGCTTCTTCCCTACGTTCCCTTTTTTCCTCTCCAGTGGGTGACTACCCATATGTGTATTGTTGCTTCCACCACCCCCTTGAAGCAATGAACGAATAGTCCGCCTCACTTCGTCCATGCGTCCATAAATCTGACACGCCCTTACGTACGTGTGGTCGTCTCCTCCCCCTGTCTTCGCATAACGCAAATAATTGTGTTTCAAATAAAGGATGTAAATCTCGAGCAAGTTCCTATACGCCATGTACTTGTACCGTTGCGAAAGCTTCCTTTTTTTTCTTTCTCCCTTGAATTGGTGAAATAATCTGCTAACGTCTTTGCTCATGTAGAGGGAAAACAAAACAAGGTGCTCATAAATGCTAAGAAGGTGTAGATCTGTGAAAAGATAAATGCATTCGTTTATGCTGTCGAAGAGGGACATGGTTGTTTCCATTATTTTTTCCAGCTTCTTCTCAATCTGGGCGTCGATCCTTTTATGTCCCTTCTCGGCAACGACACAATTGGGGTCGTCGCCATAAAAGTGAAAATCCTGTTGTGTTAACTCCTCATTCAGGTGGAGAAGCTCGCCATGCGGAGGGCTCTCCTTGGGGGTTCCCGCGACGGGCTCTTCTTCCCTCCCGATGAGAGGCATCGACCTGCACTGCCTCCTCAGCTCCTCTATGTCACTCCTCAGGAGGAAGGAGTGCAGGTCGATACTTCTCATCGCAAGAAAAGTGGACGCCGTGAAGAAGTTAAACTGGAGGAACACTTGGCTGATGTGCTGGACAATGTTTATCGTGTCTTGGAAGGAGTTGTATTTTTTTCTCTCTCCCTCTCGGTTATGAGCGGCTTTTTCCACGCTTTTTTCTTCGCCCTTTTCTTCGCCCTTTTCTTCGCCCTTTTCCACGTCGGCCCTTTTCTCCCTATTTGCCGCTTCCCCCGGGTCAGCACACTGGACGAACAGAAAACTGTGCGTTAGGAAGAACAAGCAGGAGTTGGCATCCCCCTCCCGTTTACAATTCAGCCCCACCATCTTACACACACGGGAGAGGAGCCTCGGCACAGACACGTCGAACCGGAGGTAGACCTTCCCGTCTAGGCACACGTAGTGCTCAATTTCTTTGTCCTTAAAGTGCGGGAAGGAAACCAGAAGGAGGAAGAGGCTGACGTGCAGGTTGTTCTTCTCCCCTTCGTCACTTATGAGGTGCATGTGATAAAAGCAGAGCGCGATGTACAGCAGGCTAAGATGGAAGACCCACCGTTCCCTTCGCGAAGACGGGCAACCGCCACGGGTGGGACTGTCACTGACGAGACTGCCAGTGATGGGTCTTCTACTCATGGGGCTTCCACCGATGGAACTCCCACTGATGGGGCTGCCACTCCTGCTAACGCCGCTCTGATCCGTTCTGTCCGCCTTCTCCGCACCACCCCCCTCCTCGCGGATATGTTTGCCCCTACCCTCCTCCATACCCCTCAGCAGCAGCCATATGCACATGTGGAACCCCTCTGTGAGGTCCTCGCACAGTCTGGCAAAGTTACATTTCTTGTCCACCTGACCGTCGTCGTTGCCCTCTTCCGCGGTTAACTCGTCGGGTAACTTCTCCCTCAGGCCATGCCTACCATCCAGTGGATTGCAGCCATCGGGCTGGAACGACATTTCCTCCCGTTTGAAACTCTCCCCATGTTTCCTTTCGTTTATTTTTTGCTTTATCTTGTGTATGTTTTCTTCGATTCTTTTTTTTCTTTCCCTTTCCTGCTTCAGCTCTGCCCCTCGTTTGGCCTCATCACTCTTCGCGATGATTTTATTAACCACCAGGATGAAAGGAATCAAATAACTGCCGACCAAGTCTCTGGTCTTTATCTCCTGCAGTTGTTTTAGTTCGCGTAATTTATCTCGTAGGAGATCCTCATCTATGTCTCCGCATAGAATCGAGTTCATCGTGATGAAGAAGTGGGATAGGTAGGAAAAAAAGGGTGACCCCACCTGGGAGGAAAAGTCACGCACGGGAGCGTAGCACAACAGCGTAGCATAGCAGCGTAGAACAGCGGCGTAACACAGCAGCGTTGCATAGCGGCGTATTCACGTTCGTACGTGTGCTTTGCTCTGCTGCGCTAACGCGCCAGGCAAAAAAGTGGAGTTAAAAAAAAAAAAATCACAAAAAAGGAAAGTCCATTTGTACATATACGTGGGAGACCCCGTCACGCATGCGCTCTTGCCTGTGCGGCCAAAAAAATGGCAGGAGTTGTCGTCCCCAGGCCCAGCCTTGCATAGGGTGCTACAAAACAGGTGACGTGAGGTGATGAGAGCGATTCATTTATTGCACTTCCACCCGCAAGGAGAATTAAAAGGGGGGAAGTCAACATATCTGTTTAAAACGCTCCCCACAGCGACGAAAGTGCAGGCACAACACGGCCAGTTCTGCACCTGCAGTTGGGTGGCAGTCCTGCCCCCGTCCGCTTCGCCCATCCACTTCTCCCGTCTGCTTCGTCCATCCACTTCTCCCGTCCGCTGCTCCTCCTCCAATTCACACGTAGGTTTCGATAAACCTATTTAGAAACGCACAAATGGAAAGGTGCCTCTCCTGCATGTTCATCTTGCTTGTCTCGAAACGGATCTCCCCGATGGCCTGCAGAAATGAAAGGCGCTTCATTGTGTGAATATTTTGGGAGAAAAGTAAAAAAAAAAAAAAAAAAAAAAGAAAGAAAGGTGCCTCTCCTGCATGTTCATCTTGCTTG